AAGGCCCTTCGGTCCCAAGCGGGGTCGTAGACAATATTAGGGCGTTGTCAGTCCGTAGACAGTGCTCTTACCATCAAGTAGAAAAGCGAACCTTCCTTGTGTCTAATAAAAGTTTATAGATTAAAATAAGGATTATTAATTATTTAACAACCAATAACTCCCATAATCCAATACGTATAAGTTGGTAAATTGGCCCTGAGCCAATAGGCACAGCTCACACCAAGGCAAAAAATAAATTTAAAAAAAGTCTTAGATCATTATCAGTATCAGTGGTAATATCAGCATTGTGGCCAGTATAATATTGTATTCAGCATCAGGCGCCTAATAAAAGCACCATTTCTATAATATTGAAATAAAATAGTTATATTCGTTAATATATGCATGGTTTATTTCTATGTTAGTTTTATAAAATTTCATCAATTTTACTTAGCAAACAAGCTCTGATTTGCTACTTCCCTATAGCGAAATGGCCTTTGGGTGCAAAGGGTTATTTAGACAATTCTCGGTCCCACTTTTCTCTATTTCCCTCCAAAATGTGACTCGGAAGGTGAATTTTTCAGACAATGAGAGAATATTTTCCGACTTCGGACTGAAAACGTTGGAACTACACAGAAAACTTTTGAACTTGAGCTGAACCTTTTGAGACTTCAAAGAGAACTCTGTCGAACATTATAATCTCGGACTCTAGGGCTTTGGACATTAACCCTTTGCGGTCCTACGTCGAGTCAGACTCGACATAAGAATTTTTCCCTTCAAGATATCGTATTTTATATCTAATATTACGCTGAAAAATTTAAGTAAAGGGAAACTCCACGGTACTGCCCGAGAGTGACAAAATTTGGACTGCAAAGGGTTAACAATTTTGTACTGAACATTGGGTCTCATAGTTTGCACAAACACTATATAAATAATGAAAAATAAATTTTCTTGTATTTGCAAATCCCCGATTTGCTATATACTATGTTGAATTCCACAAATCCCAGGAATTAACAATGTGAATAAAGCATATCAAATGGGATTTAGGAATTAACACAGTGAACGAAGCTTATCAAATGCTCTATGGGATTGTGGAATAGAAAGGATTATTGCATTTTTCAGTATAGAAGCATCTCGACATTGTACCCAAGTTGTCGTGTAGTAGGACATAGGAATGGTAATAGTGTCTCTTGTGGAATTTTTATAAAGGGCATAAGCGTTTGCAGAAGAAGAAACAAATGGCAATTTCACCGTATGTTTCATTATTTAGAAGTTGGTCGACAAATATTTGCGAATTCTTTTGTGGACATTCGTAACATGTGAAAACTTTTCGGAAGGTATTCTAATATTTTCTGATTTCCCTTTCCCTTCCACTCTTTTTATTTCGTAAGGAAATAATTTTATTTCTTGATAAAGAACTAAGTCTATAGCCAGCTTTCCTTCGAAATTAAGTGATTTATTTTCATTCAGTGATATTAACTTTTGAAACAATATTTAATGCATTTTTACAATCGATATTTGGAGAAAAATTTCCAGTGCTAATTTCGTTTAGTATTCAACAGCTTCTGTCATTGTTAGTGAGCTACAATAAGCAACCAGTTGATCTGATAAATTAAGGGGGTGCTTTAGTCTAGAGTGTCATTTTTTAGTCCTTCTTAGGGATTTTTTTGTAAGGAAAGTATAAGATTCTCAGTATCGGCATTTTGCATACATATTTATTCGTGCCTTGAGAAAGTTCACAATTTTTTTCAAGTGAAAATAATCAAAACTGTCTGAATTATATATCATTCAGTGCGGTCCCTTTAAAAAGAAGTGTCCTACTGGCTGACACGATTCCGCCCATTCTGTTTATCCAAAATGAAAAATCCAAAAGGATTCTTGACTAGTACGAATGTGATTATGGTGTGAACCAGAATAAAAAAAAAATAGTGCAAATTTACAAAATGGCGGCACTTTGAATTTTGTGTACCGAGTTTGTCGATATTTTTTCGTCTTTCAGAGTCTCTAAAAATCAGAAAAATATATATTTTGGCATAATTCTGGTTCAGACGATAACGGCACATCCACTGAAGGTGCGTGTAAAATTTGGAGTTAATCGGACAACTAGAACTTGAGATATCATGTCAGCCATTTAGAAAAACATGGTTTCGAGAAAAACGCGTTTAAAGTTTACACGAGAATGGTACACTTATGACTATGGACTACATGTCGTCGTCTTTAACCATCTATAACTTTGTCAATTTTACGAATTCGGAAAAATCCTTCGACAGTTATACTTCTGCAAATGTCTACTTTCAGAAAATGTAAAAAAATGAAATCGAGTTTTTTGAAAAGTCTAGACTAGAATACTCCCTTAATAGAAGCTTTCCTCATCAACACCATTTACTTCTCATATTTCGCGAAAAGCATCAAAATGTCTCTTATTAATACAGTTATACCGTTTTTATTCTTATCTGGTACAAATCTTCTTTTTTTCTAGCTTTCCTAATTTTACTTCTTCGAGTAATCCACTGATAGTATAGTTGGTCGAAGCGATACATTGAGTTCCGTGCGTTATTTGTGAATTAATATTTAAAATTTCTGCTTCCAAACATTACTTTAAGCTACACGGTATTAAGCCTTCGTCGTCTCCTGCTCAGTAGTAATTTCTGTATTTGTAAAAATTAACCTTGATAATTTAAAAAAAAAAAGAACTACAAAACATACGCTGCAATCAACCTGTAGGTCCCTCTAAACCAGGGGTCGGCAAACTTTTTTTCTGGAGGGCCAGATAATAAATATTTTTTGGCTTTGTGGGCCAAGAGAGAAAATTGAGATTATTACGTATGTATGTATATACACTACCGGCCAAAAGTTTGGAATCACTGAGCATTGCAATTTACACAAAAATTTCCAGAAAAAAGTCAACGACTTGGAGAATATTTTTGAGAAAACCGTTTTAGTCTGTTTAATGTTTAGTAAATCTAACAATGCATGTTTTCGTAGAAACTTTCACCAACGGTCTCAATAGCAATTTGCCAGGTCATAAACCAAGGGTTGCCGAAAGGTCCGCGTACGGGCCCAGAGGCCCAGGTCACATGTCCCAAGTACCGGACCTAGAGGAAAATCCGCGGCGTTGCCAAATGCGCTACAGCGGACAATACGCCCCCACCATAATTCGCCGCGGTCCTGGAAAAAGCGCGACAAGGGCGCAAAGGACTAGCTGCGGGTTAAAGACAAAATTCCTGATTGGTTGCAACCAATAAGTTGGGGGTAACCAATCAGGAAAAAGAAGATGGTGAGAAAGAAGCTCGCGAGGTGACTTGGAGAGTCAGAGTCAGTGAAGCAGATAGTCATTAAGCAATAATCAAACTGTACACCTCGTGAGCCAGAATAATAAAGACTAAAAAGGAGAACTCACTGTGTGGGTACTAAGTAACCCAGATCACGCACTATCCTCCTGTCATTAAATCCAAATCCTACACTATAAATAATTAGCAGCAGATTTAATATTAATGAAAAGTGGGAGGTGATTCGAAACTTTTGGCCGGTAGTGTATGTAGGTAGTTAACTACAAATAAAAATTTTTTGGCAAATCCTTTATTTATAACACACATTTATTAATGAGAAATATGGAATTCTTTCTTTTCGGATGATATTTTATTTAACTGTACATAACTCGCGGGCCATGAAAAAACTGATGGCGGGCCGCAGTTTGCCGACCCCTGCTCTAAACCAAGGTATTTAAAAAAAAAAATTTGAATTGCCAAGGGGTGTTCAAATGGTTCACCACCGCATCCTATAAATTTTTCTATCCTGTAGTGAGTGTTGAGTGTGCTGTCACAGAGTGAAGACTTCATAATTGATAGAATACGTCAGAGATTCTTGTCGCAGCCAATTTTATATTTAAAAAGACTGTCAGTGGACATCGTGAAACATGTCCCTTTTCGATTCAAGCAGTTAATTTGAAAGATACAATGGACAGAAACAATGCAATCATCACTTGTTGTTTTTTTTACAACATTTGTATTACTTTCGTCAAGTTAATCATTAACTGCAATATCTGGTAAGCTACAATTAATAATAGCAGTATTAAACGATGTTTCATCGATAAATTGTTGACTGAACAGAAATACGTTGTTTATTTTCCTGGAGAATTAACGACATTGATTTTACAATATTGAGAGCAATATGATAATGCGATGAAGCTCTCTACAATATGTTCAAAAAACACGTCATTTCTACGGCAGCTTTTCTTGATAATTTTCTTTAAATGAAATTCAAAGTAAAAATTATCATAAATCACGCACAGTGGTAGAAAACATGCGGAAATATATTAACATACCGTGTATTGATAAATACACGCCATATACATACACGAATGTGTTGATTTTAATTAACGAATTTCAATGAATCTAAGAGAAATTCCTATATTCTTTATTAACCTTTGACTCCAATATATCTTCTAGCATTTATGTAGTCAAACATAGTAATTTACATAGTTAAATATAGTTGAGTATGTAACAGAAGTTCCCGGACTCAGATTGCAAAACCGTTTGATTTACGCACTGACATCTTTCCTTTTTTAAACATTTCAGACATTTATTCAGTGACCTTGGAAAAATTCGCAAAATTTAAAATTGAAAAATTTCTAATTTGAAAAATTAATTTTTTTAAACTATTCAAATTGTATTTTACACATTGTTCATATCATTGCTAAGAAAGAAGATATTCAGGTGACCTTTATCTGAGACACCCTGTATACTGTATTACCCGTTTTGCTTAATAAAATCAGTTCTTTTTATATAATATTTCCTTTAAAACAAATATTGTACATGAGTAACTTGAGATTGTCATGTCGAACCACTGCAATCACTGGAACTATACAAATTTTATCCTAAAATAAAATAACGTTCATTATCATTAAATCAATTTAATATTGTATATTTTGAAATTCAACGAGAATTTTGAATTCACCAATTTTTTTTTAAGAGTTTCACTTACGTTGCTTGTAATTATATTTCTCGTTGAATTCGTTTGTTTAGGGCACGTGACAAAAATCGAACTAGAGCTGGAGGAAGCTCCGGACGACATGATTCTCGTTGGATCCATGCCGTCTGAATTGGATGCCACCGGCGAAATCAATGCCACCTATCCAGATGGTGAGTTGAAAATCTCGCAAAACCCAAGAGACAGCGATCCTTGTTACTCGTAACCTAAAAATCACACGTGATACGTGATTTTCACGTATTTCGTCGTTTCAAATCGAGAAGTGTCGAAGGGTTGAAGAGATAACCTAACTTCTAAAGTTCGCCATGCTACGTTCAACTTCTTTGTGCTTCGTTAGACAACCGCAATTTCATTAGGCAAACGTGTCTTAATTTGCATTTTCCCCTGCACTCTGAATCCACGCGCACACATATTGCATAGAAAGTCTTGAAAACAGGTTAATTACAAATTGAAACATAACCTCAAAAATGTGCTAATCGCATAAAGAAGACCTTCGAACTAAACATGATTATCGTTAAATTGATAGATTTGAATTTAAAATCAGATGTTATGATATTAAATATTTAAATAGTAGTAATATAACAGGAAGTTTAGCGTTTTTCGATTGTAATAATATGTGGAAAGTTGTTTGTAAAGGAAAATATTGGTTACTCGTGAACTAGGAGGTAGAAATTGTTCTAAAACACATATTTTACAAATCTAATATTTCTGCAAATGTTGACGAAGAAATTGATTAATTAGTCTCGTCAATGTTTTCGATTATTTAAAATAATTTTTATGCACACAAATTGCAATCATTTTTTAATTGAAAAATATTATGAAAGAGAATTTATATACTGGAATATGATATTATTATTGCATTAACGTATATTTATCAGCTTTTTAATAAGCTTAATTAATTTTATTGTCTTATTTATTTAATAATAATTCCAACATTTCATGGTACTAAGCACAATAATCTGGCATTTTGATGAGATTTGAGTTATGTAATAAAATATCAACGTAATATAAACTAGTAGATATGAATATTAAAATTCTGTATACCTATATTTTAAAAGAACTTTAATTCCTGAATATTCTCTTCTAAAAGAAACTTCTTTCTGAATTTTTCATACGACGCTACTTTAATATACCCAATAAACAGAATTCATTGAAATAATACTACTGTTTATCTTCTTACGTTGACATCTAACATCTACGTTTAAGGTTCTTCAAATTTCATTTTAAATCAAAAGTAACAGAAATGTTGAACTCGTTTATTATCGTTCACTTCGTAACAAAATTTTAAACTACTTAATAACAACTGCATAAATAACTTGAAGTCTCCATATGTCTATTTCAAACCTGAATTTTGGAAAACAGGAATTTGTACACGGCTGACAACTAAATTTTTTATTTATTTAACAGAGAAAAAAATTAATTGTTTTTGTAATTTTTTAAATTCCTTAAGAACATAAATGTATTTCTGAAATGACGTTTCCCGATTATAATTTCTTGGGGCGATTTTCTCGAAACCATATTTTCCAAATTGCCAAAAATAATGTCTCCCGGGCGAACTAATCGATAGACTTGACACTTCGATTTCTGAAAGTATTAGGTTGGTGCACCTAAATTGCCGTTTTTTAAACAGCTGATATTGGCCAGTCGATACCATATATTAAATTTTGTCTGATCATTTTAATATTTGAAGAAGGCTATGTAAATGTTGAGACACTTCAACGTTGGTGTGCAAAATTCAAGTGTGGTGACTTTTTATTAGAAAGTGAGCTAAGAGGAAGACCATATAGGATAGTGGATAATTTTTTAAGAAAAATTATTGAAAACAATCCAAGGTAAATAATATGAAATTTTGCCTACCATTTCTTCAAACACCTGAACAATTTTTTGACAAATATATTATTCCGAAATGAAAACACTGTAAAGGCAGCATTCAAAGAATTTTTGAATTCCAAGATTAATGATTTTCATACATTTGGAATAATGAAATTAATCAATTGTTGGAAAAACTGTATATAAAATCATGCAAAAATGATTTTGATTAAATATATTATTTTTTCAAGAAACGCAATGTATCTAAAGTTTCGTTTCAAAAACCGACGTTTCATATGCACCAACCTAATAGGTGGTTTTTAGTAAAAGAATGCTGCACTAATAAAAAATGTTCGTCGGTTTGTGCCAGGAAGAGGCGCCTGTAACTATGCAGTTTCTTTCTTCGTTTCAGGTATCAGTGCTGCCAGATTTAACAGTCGAAAGTTACTGATGGCGTCGCTTGTACACAGTACATTTTTACCATTTCGATGTTGAAGTTAATATTTTCTCAGGACAATAATATAAAGAACACCAAGATAAGAAAGTATTTCTAAATATGAGGAAGTAACCACTTAAATTCGTGTTTCATGTATTTTCATTTCTTTTGCAACATTAACTTTGTAGTCACTTGTCTACTGATTTATGACAAAAACAGAAACCAAGGTATAGTTGGTGGAAGCGATATAGTCAGCGGCACCGTTTGATGTAGGGTGATTCCACGATGAATTGATCATTTTTTGACGTCGACACCAGGGATTTTGTTCCAAATGAAATATAATGTAGTACACGTGAAATTAGGGGGGGTTTAATTCATCATTTAGCTGGTTTCGAATTTGTTTAAAAAATACGGACCTTTGAATTTGACAATTGTTGCCCATTTTTGTGAAAATATTCTGCTGTGCTTATCAATTTTTATCTCGGAAACTATTGATCGAATTGAACTCACTTTTTTTTTGCTTTAATCTAGAAGGATTGTCCTATCGTAAAAAAATTATTACTAATAATATTTTTGTTATTTGAAAAATTGACATAGCCGTATTTAAATAGGGTCGTGCGTTACTTGTGAATTGATATTTAAAATTTCTGACGCCTGTTGATGACAAAATTAAGACGCCTAAGTAATTTTACGACATTACCTATCGGTTCCACCGACTATACATTTACCGTAAAAAAGGAATACTAGTCTCAATTCGAATACTTGCTGGTATGAATCATTACTGAGATGATCTTGTTGTGTAAATAGATGCATGGTCGTATTGGAAAATCTAGAACCGTTCTGCTACTCTTCCTTGAATCTTGGACTTTCAAGCTTGAAGTACTTCTCTGAATTTAACCAGAATTTTTGTTACCTGTTAGGTATACCTCCCCAAATCTTGATCAACCCAAACCTTACTCTATTATCGTGCTAAATATTGCTGATCTTCACGAAGATCGCGGAAATGATAAGAATATTTATCTGGGCCATCTAAAGAGAATCTTTCCTTGAAGGAGAAGACAACTTTTTTCTACATTACATTCCAGCTCGTGCATACGTTAATAAATTACAGCTGTACTTATGAAATCGTTATGACAACGTGTATTTTTCCTTTAATCACATGAATTTTAATACTGGAAGATCTTTAATAATTCTCTGTACAATCCTCACAAGCAGAAATACCAACAAGGGTTGGATTTCATGAACATGAAAGCACTATTCGCCGAGTGTCTTAAAATATTGCGCTTTTCTCTTTTCACTGTGATTATTTTTATAACAACCCCTTTGTTATTGCTATAATTCTATTAATTTTTTTCATAATTGTGTATTATATGAAGACTTTGTCCTATTTTCTCTACAATTTTTTTTATTGGAATATCATACCTTTTTTCGGGTTTGTATTTTATTAATCTTTTTATCCCTTTAAGTCCAAGTGGGAATTCAGAGTCCCGTACATTAACCCTCTAAGCCCGGGGGCGTTTTAAACGTGCCGTAGAATTATTTTAAGGGTTAAAATAGTCTATTTTGTACTTCGAATTGGAAGACTATTCGTTTAGAATACATGAAAATGCGAAAATCATGGATTTCTGGTATGGGACTCTGGAGCCCTACTCGGACTTAGAGGGATTAAATAAGTTGTTTTACACCTCCAATGTTAGCAGTATAAGACGGAAACGTTTACTTTCAGTCAGTTAAATAAAACTTTGCTTACACCTCTCTTGGAGGAAAAATAAACTGGTAGGTCCGAATAAATTTTACGTACTTACAAAAGTTCACTAATATATTTCTTACAGGGAAATATCTGTTTATTAACCCTTTGCGGTCTAAATAGTCCAGCTAGTCCGCACTCATTCGGCCACTTTCGAGCAGTACCATGTACATATGTAGTTTCCTTTTATTTCAATATTGCAGCGTAATATTAGTTATAAAATACTAAGTTTCAGTATAATATTAATGCATTAAAAAATGGCTTATTATCATTTATAATTTATCATTGTATGATAAGAATTAATGATATTTCCAATCCTTGCTGCGGCCAGCAGTTGATAACCGAAGAGGTTTCTCAATAACATTTCGTAACATTTTTACTTTTTAAAATCGTGAGAATGAAAGTTACATTTATATCCCCTGAAAAAATTGAAACATTTTACGTAGTAGTTACTTATGAAAGAAATTCCCAAACTTTTACCTATTTTTAAAAGCCGCAGGGTGGTGTCATCCACTAACAGCACATCAGAGCAACAACGTTCAGTTGCATCGATGCGATCTAACTCTATTAATTTTTCATTTCGAAAGACAGCATTGCGGTATAGTCAGTGGAACGAACATAGCGAGCTCGTAAATTAAAACATCGAGTAGTGGCGCAGCTTGATGCAGCGGCAGCCAGGACCGTATACGGTATTCTGTTTTAGGGTCCGCACGATAAAAGGATGACAGTTAGCCGATGACTAACGTTTTATCGGACTAATTAATAACGCTAATTAGCTTTTCGTAATATTTGTAGTTCCTTTCTGTGCCTAATGTATCATAAACCTATGTGATCAACGTAGATCAATTATTTAGTCGAATTTGAAAAACGTGAAATTGATGAAGTAAACAACGAAAACAGTAATCATTGGAAGAAAACAGCAGATAAAACTGTTAATCGTCAGAAAATATAAGCTTGCAGCTGTCGAGGATTTAGTCTAAAAACATTTTCATGGTCGCTGAAAATTAGAAATCCTAATTGCCAAAAATTACTCCATAACCATGAAAATCGTTAGGACAAACAGGACGTGCTGCGTCACGATTCCTGAAAAATCCAGGAAATTTCCACTTCCTTGTCGATAGAGATGTTGAGGTGGAGCTTCTAAATTCACCAATGTGAAG